ACAACACCAAAGAGCAAAACCATCAATTTCTTTTTTTTCAAAGTCAGGTGTCTCCAATCAACTGCCTCTGCAGTGTTCATTTCAGAAAGACTTAGCTCAGACCTAAATTCACACGAGGCTTTCTCTGTGGTCTGTGACGAGAGATGCTGCCCTTGGGAACTGCAGTTCTGAGCTGCTCTGACTCATCATTCAGAGGAACTTGTTGCTTTCCTCTGACTGCGACTAGAGCAGCAAATTCAGCCACCCCAACTAATGCCTCTGTGTAGAGGGGATAAATCCAAACCTTAACAAGCCTGAAAGTTTTTCTCTGAGCGGGAAGTGGAGCTTTTCCTTTTGTATTTACAACACCGAATAATAACAGAGAGCACAATATTTCAATGCCAGCAATTTCTGACTCAGTGAAGAGACATTGCCATGGGCTTTCAAGTCCCCCAAATGGATACTCCTTCCTGGTGCATTGTCATACTCCAGGCACTCTGGAAAGCTATTGGGGCTATTTTTATTGGGGTTTTGTGTGGGGTGTGTTAGTTTTGAATTTTGTCCTTTTCTTTTTTTTTTGACTTAACAGTTTGTTTTATAAAATGCTTCATCATAGCACAAGAGAGTCTGTCAAAACAGCAAGGGGAATGTTAATGTAAAAAATGCTCATAGCTAAGGCCAACTCTACCCTTTTCATGAAACAAAAGTTGTGATAGTTGGCATATTGAATGTTTCTGGACCATTCCTTGTTCAACAGCTTGTTGTGGAGATCACCTAATCCCTGAAAGATACCCTAGAGATGTGTTCTTTTCTATTTATGGGTTGGGGGTTACAAGGGTAAGGATATGAGTTCCTTCAATTGTACTGGAATGGCTGGGGAGCATCACTGCTGTCATTCTATGCCTTATAATTTAAACCAGTAATACTTTCTTAGTAGCTGTACATACTCCATCAACAAAGTCTCTTCAGATCATTTTTTTTGCACTGCGTTTATTCATTACTGACCAGCAGTGGTTTCACTGCATTAGACTCTGCAGTTCTGTGAGAATTGCCAGAAAAGGTTCGGGAAAAGCATAACCTGGAATTTCAGCAGTCAGCGCTGTCCATACTGATAGGTTAGTGCTTCCCCAGTAACCATACTTTTACTTGCAAGGCAATTGTACTAAACTGGAAAACAAAATATATATATTTACAATAACCTATGTATGTTTTCATCTTCCTTGTCCTTGTTTTGTTGAGATAGTTGATGGGTCAGCTGCAGGCTGACACGCAAAAAATGGTTTAAGAAATGACCATTCTGGGTAGATATAGATAGATAGATCGATCTATAAATGGATATACTGTTGGTATATGTATGTTTATGTATATATAGCATCATGTTTTATTGTCACACTGGCTGACTGAAGCTGTTCAATAACAAGATATGAAATAAGTCTAGTCAAAAAGCAATGTCTTGTCACCACTCAGTATCATGATATGACACGTTATTTCAGTTGTATTTCAGCTGTTTGAAAGCAAATCTCTGGAGCCTTGAAGTGGCAGATCATGGGAAGTCACAATAACTTTTTCGTTCATTTCCAGGACTGAACCGTAGTTCTTTCTGGCTAAGTCTTGCCATCTATCACACTATGTGCTGCAGGAAAACATGTGTTTTAAGGAGCCAGAAGCATTATCTCCTACCATGCAAGGCATTTACTAGGTGAAACAATTCATGTCATGCCATGAGCCAGCAGTCAGTTGTTGTCTTTATGAGTTTGTGGAATTTCAAGACCTAAACAATCTAATTTTCAGTAGTTTTACTATGGATTATAAAGAAGCATCAGCAAGATATAAACCTAGAGTTTAATAACCCATAAAACATGTTACAGCAAGGTTTTTAGCTACAAGGATCCATAAAAGAGGTTTGAACTACATTATAATGTCCTTTTGGGCTGCCAGTGCAACTAATGAAGGGTTTTAGACAATAAATTGGACTAATTGTTGAGTTACAAAGGCCTTTCTTTATTTTTTTTTTCTTTTTGCATTTCTAGAGACTTTCCACCCACCTGGCAATCTTGCTTTGTCATGAATTCTTGTCTTTGATTCTATAATAGCCCTCATAAAACTTTGAAACATTTAGCATTTGGTGAATACACAGGGTTTTTTTGCTGTCTATGGCTCAGGCATTTGCTGATTCACTGCAGTACCATTCTTTTTATTCAATTAACTGAAAAAATCCAAGAGGCAGCAAAATTATTAACTGATCAGGATTTTTCTGAGAACAGTGTGCTTTCTTTCTAGCTGACAGCTTATCTGCACTATTCAGAAAGGACCACACTCACACAGTCCCCTAAATCTGTGAGCAGAACCTTGGTCTTTGCTATCTCCAGGCAGACTCACCTTCCTGCCAAGTCATTTCCCAAGAGCTGCCATCTCCCTCCCTGCTGCCTGCACACAGGTCTCCAGGTGTAATTTAGGTGGACAGGACTTAAAACACCAGGAGCATAACCCAAATTTTTTGACCAGAGACTAACTCTTTGGAAAATGATCAAGTACACCTTGAAAATGAAGTGAAATTTTACCCTGAAATATTGACATTGACTTCTCATCTCATCTTTTGCTGTTGTGGCATCTCAGGGCATAATTTGGGTGCAAATACTGCAGACCAGTGAGTAGTATAATCAAGTGCCTATCAGTAGTCATATTGCTTCCTAGGTTTTCAAAATGAGAATGAAAAGTACGTAGAAAAGAGTTTATTCCTCTGTTGCCTGTATTTATTGTTGATTTCTAGATAGAGGTAGTTTGACTTCAGCACCCAAAAAGCTTTTTGGGCAAGTTGCCCTATTTGTGACAGGTTAGACTTCCCTATAGCATGTTTATCAAAACTCCTTGGGGCCTCAGACTAACCATGATGCATTTATTTGACACTTAACAGTGATGTATTTATTGTCATCATTACTCACCCATACATTTGGAAACTTACAGTACATGTCTCCTCATTGCATTTTAACTGAAATACAAAAACACTGTGGGATTTACATGTCATGCCTCTTATTTCAAATGTTTTATTCCACAAACTCGAAGAGAAGGATAGATCATCTCTGACTTATGCTGACCTGGTTCTCCGCTCATTCTTACCTGCTACACACCAATATCAACAGTTACAGTGACATAACCCAGAAGAATACAGTCAAAAATCAGATCCTTCCTACACCAAATCACTTTCCACATCTGTTTCTTATTTGTTTTATAATGACACATGGGATTATCTTGGGGATATGTTCTGCCTTAACTATTATGCCACTGACTTTACAGCCTTATCAAATATCCATTGGTGTGCAAGTTGAGCAGTTATCATCTACTAAGAAGAAATGCCACTAAAACATAGATTGATAATAACATTTTTCAATAATGGCTTGTAGCATTAGTGCCATTTTCTATTATTGAAGTTTAGGTCTAACATTCTCCTCAATGTACTGTTTTTATTTATTGTGTAAGATCTAGGTATGGGGCCTACAGTAGAATCTCAAAAATATTTTTCTTTTTGGTTATTTATTCATTTCTGGTTAGAAGGAGCAAAGTCAGAAAACGGGAGAGAAATAAGAAATGTACCTATGCTATTAAGAAATAGAAAGAAAGACAAAGGGAAAGAAAGACATTTAATACTGTCTAAGATATTACATATACAGGATGACTATAAACATAATCAGGCAGGGTACATGTACAAGAACATGCCTTAGGAGGTTGAACTTGAATTCTGAGATCAAACTTGATGATGTCCAACCTTTTTATCTTACAGTGCAGTAAGCCCCTCCAGATTACTATCCTGCTAACAGTCCATTTTCCCTTCACCTTTTTCTTCAGTAAATGGAGTGAAATGTGAAATTCATCTGATTGATGAATTTCTTTTGAAAATATGTAGTAAATACACAGAGATATGTACTAGCATGATGTAATTGAACAAACCTGTAATAAAAGATATAGCCTGGGACTTACTTTCGGAAACATGGACTCCATAGGTTTGAAATAACACCATTTTTTGGTCACTAGTCTGGCCCATGCCTGGGCTCAGTATGGATGAGTAAGATAGGGGAAGGCAGGGTACCAAGGAGAATGCTGCTTCCAAGGTGGAGATCAGTCTCTTCTTTTTGGGGCTCCTTGACTTAATTAGGTGTCGATGCAAATTAACCACAGTGCAAGTGGGAAATGGAAACATCAGGTTTTGGTGTGGCCTCCACAAGTCTTCTGTGAATGTAGAAATCTTCTGTGCAAAAAGCATCAGTTCCTCTGGTTTTACCCTCAGTCCAAAACATAAGATAAACACACTATTCAAATTGATTGGCAGACTTGGTCCCTCAGTTTAAATTAAAGTAATTAAATATACTGAAAAGCCCATTGCTTTGGATTTACTGACCTCTGTTTGACTTAGTGTTGACTGAGGCCCTTTTTAATCTCAGTTTAAATCCCCATATGCTTTACCCTCAGCTTGTATATTTTAAAAGTTTCGTTGCATGGTTCTGAATAATAATAATGATAAAAAGCTCTCCTGATGCAGTTAAAATTGAATTTGAGGATGTATGAAATAGTAAGTCACTAATACTCAGGCTAGGAAAAGCAGAATTTAGCATCATGTCATGTTGTGGGATATCTCAGAAAAGCAGAGTCAGGGAGAAATAGGTTTTATTTTTTTTCAGATAAAAGTTTCACATTCCTGATTCATTAGTTACTATTACTCAAATGTATTCTAAGTGAAAGCAAAAAGATTTCTATAAAACCATGTAAATTATATGTGAAGTAGAACAGAAGAGACTCGAGCTGTGCATGTGTATTTGTGCCTTTGACTAGCCTTCAGCACATACTGGTTAGGAGGTGGGCACTTCTAGCAGATCCTCACTCATTGTAATTTGACTTCCTTAAGCCACAAACCCCAGTATGAATCACATAAACTGCACCCTCTGCACTCTCTTGTGTTCAACTCACTCATCAGTGTTCTTTCATCAAATAATGTTGCTTTTTCCTTTTTTTTTTTATTTATCTCACAGGACAACATCTTTAGAATGGCAGATTCACATTTTGAAAATGGGCGGGGGAAAAGCCCTTATGATCCCAAACTGCTGACAGCTTCGCTTTTAGTAGGTAGGTACCACATAACAAGTTCAGTGAGATGTGCAGTCACTGTAAATAATTGCTGATTTTCTGCTTTTTTTTCCTCCTTGCAGCACCTATGACAGGTTTTTCTTTTATGCAATTTATTTCTAGGTTAAGGTAATTCTGGTTTCACTTTGAATACAGTTGACCCAGGTATCTTGAGATGTAAACCAAGATTCGGGTATCACAAAAGCTGCTTTATACCCTGCAAGGCCTTGATTCTGCAAAGTGTTTTTCCTTCTCACTTCTAGATCGAGGCATTTTAATCACCCAGTTTACAGGCTGGACACACTGGTGGTCACACCAGCACAGCTGAGAGCAAAGTGAGAGCAGGAACAAGTAATTCCTTACATCAGTTTTGCTGCCAAGGAAAGTTTATCACTCAACTGTACCTGTGTGTGAGCTGAGACACATAAGCAGCCACAGGTCTAGGCCCTCAGGTGATGTTTCAGCTGAAGAGAGCTGTCTGACAGTGAACACAATTACATTCCTGCCCAGAACAAAAGGATTTAAATAAATTAGGTGTTTCTGAATTGGTAATACTTCATTTCATGGAATATGTAAATATAGAGCAACTGGACTGTGTCAATCTAATTGAACTAATGCAATTGATTGAATTTGTCTAATTGATTTAACTTATCTAATTGAATTAATTATGTCCATTGTTATTCCTTCCCCTTCTCAGAAAAAGGCAAAAAGATGTTTTGTGAGAATAAATTAGGAATGAAACAGATCCTTCTTTCCGTAACAACTCTGCCTAGGTGTAGCCACCTTATCCTTAACATGTAACTTTCTCACAATTTATTTCAACTTCAAATCCAAAATAGTTTCAGAAAATTGCAGATTCTCTTTATCTCAGAAGTCTTTGGGAAATGGCACATAACCAAATAGATTGGTTTCTCCAGGGCTTTGTCCATATTGTTAGTCTAGGGCCTTGCCTACTGTCTACACTTACTATATTTACTTTGCATTTAAAAATTAAGCTATTCAAAATAGACAGCAACAGAAATTTAGTCCTAAGTGTGCCTCATTTCCTGATCTTAGAATGTAATGATCCCAGGTGATGAGCTACCCTGGGGACACACACTTTTTAACAGGAAAAACAGGAAAGACATCCAGATCTTGCTCCAACTTGTACCCTGTACAAACAGAAAGGAAAAAAAATGTGTGTCTAAAAGGCCAGTGTATAAATTAGTGCCTGAAGCGACTTGAATTTGTGGCAGAGCAACTCTCAAGCGAATAGCTTTACTATTTACTTTAATATACAATAAAGAAAGAGAATGATGACAAGCCAGTATTACGTGGTATACCCGGTATGCAACTGCACAAAGTCAACAGTGTCTAGCTTTTCACATTCCTTTTTTTTTTTTTTTTTTTTTTGCTCAGTCCGGCACAAATATGATTATCTTATTTCCCTTGGCTTAGATTGCATGTCTTTAAAACATCTTTGCTTTCTTGAGCCCACTTCCTATCACTATGATTTTCACTCCGTTTATATTTCCTTCTAATAAAGAGTAGACAGGGCATGACCTTTTGTTTTCAATCAGGCTTCAGTGAGAGCCATTGGGTATATTAACACAATGGAAAATGGTGCAAATTCAACATTCAAAGCCAGTGACTAATTTCTACTTCAGGGTGAGGCTAAAAGCAACATTCCGGTATCCTAAACACAAGCACCTTTTCTTCTCTGCCTCTTCATAGTTGCCTCACAGTCATATTGTGTTAGTGATTATTTACCTCAATCCTTTATGCAGAGTGTATATTTCACAGTGTACACCAGGTTCACCACTGGTTTTCAATGTCTTACTCCTCTTTGCCAAAAAACAAACACTTACATTTTATGGTAAAATGATGACCCAAGGCAAAAGAATTTCCTCCCACCAAAATAGGTGAGAAACAGGGTCTGAACTGGCTAAGCAATGACTGCATAGAAGGGGTTTTGTTCAACTGCTCTCTGAAATAGGTAGCACTGGAGTGAAGTAGTGAGAACAGCCATGAAGGCAAGAGGAGACTCTTGACCACAAAGGTCTCACATCAAAAAGGACGTGGATAGATTGCTTCTTCCCTTCTCCTGAGCTGAACAATAACTCAGCTACTCCTGGCCCCTCATGTGCCAGAATATTTGTCCTCGCAATTGACCATGGTTTTATCTAAGGTTTAAGAGGGCAACTATGTAAAGCAATTACCCAGCAATCATTAAAATGCAGTGTTATAATTAGTAATGCAAAGTAACTATCAGGAAGATAAAAGAAAGCTGAGAAGAGTAATTTATATGGTTAAATACAGGAGGGAAATATAACCTCTCTTCTTCATCAGAAACACTAAACAGAGATTCTGAAAAGTGTGGAAGAAGAGTATGTTCTTGACACCATACTAGAGAGTAAATCTTAGGTAAGTGAAGTGTAATCACCAAGAGGAATTTGGGCAAAACACCAAGGTTAATTTGCAAAAGATAACTTCAGATTATTAATAACCATTAGTACCTAGGAGGTCTGTTCTGTATTTCAGCTGAAATAAACTCTTGTAAGTGTAAAGAGGATCTTCAGTTTTCCCTCTCTCCTAGAAAAATCAATAGTATTTGAAAAAAAATCCACACCAAAACAAAACCAAAATAAACAGTTCATCATTATTAAATTGTTCCAGTATTTTGCCAGTATACATTCCTTGTTCCGTCCACCTGCAAACATTTTTCATTGTTTTTTTAACAGTTGTTCATTAAAGTTAGCTATTGCTACCCTACTCTAAAGTAAATGCCATCTGGGAACATGATATAACTAGCTCCTAGTAATATAAGACACTATTCAGCCATTCCCATCTATGTGCTGCTAACTAAACAATCTCCATTTGAGTGGGCTAATGCATGAAAATGTAGAGACTAAGAAATCCCTGGGCACCACTAGTGATTAATCCAGTTCAGGAGGAAAAAGAGAGGCAACTTGGTTTCCAAGGAATATAATCACAGGAGGAAATATCCCTGAACGCAATAGACTAAAGCAACTGTATTGGGATAGTTGGAAAAAACCTTCAGAGAAGGAGACACCAGTATCAGTCAGTTTGTGTTTAGGAAATGACCCTTTGGGATTTTCAAAAGCTTTGGTGATCCAGAATCCTCAAAGTTGTTTTATGTTCCTGTGTTCAACTGATTTTTTTTTTCTTTTACAGTTTATAATTTCTTTTACAAATTAACAATTACTGCATTTTTCATTTTTTAAAATCCATTTAGGTAACTTAATACTCCCCAATATGTATTAATGTGATCTGAAATACAGTAGCTTCTCATCAGTTAAGAACTTTAGTATTATATTTGTTAGAAATTAGATACTAAGTACATATGAGGTTCAGAATTTTAGAATTACTCTACTTTCTGGGAAGTTTCAGTTATTGACTTTAAAAGAAGTGAAGTGAGCTCTATGTCTGCAAATCTCAACTTTAGTGAATAAACCTTTTACCCAAGGATAGATTTAATTTGTGAACCCTTTTACCAGTGAGAGTAGTCATGACATTCAAGTCTTGGTTTTGCCTATATTCCTCATTTGTTCAACTTCCTTATTACTTCCAAAGGAAAGTTTACACTTCTGTACTCTCCACAAATTATTTTTGTTAAGAATGTAATCCTGTTTAAGAGCTGAATAGGAACACTTTACCAAATAAATGTGTATTGTTTAGCCTTTAGCATCTGTGTATCTCACGATCTTGGGGAGTTGTTTCTAGTTCCATGCTGATGACGAACAGAACAGGCGAAAATGGTTCCTTCCTTCTAAAAATCAGCATTACTACGGACTTTAATTGTTGCCTCTTTATTTAGTACAGTCAATATATGTATTTCTGTTTGCATTCATGTGTCAGCATGCTACTCCTTTAGATTAAGGTGGTTGCTGTCCAAAACAGACTTTTTTCTTATATGAACAACTGAGGGTCATCAGCTAGTTCTGGACAGTTGTTGCTTTGCGCTGCTGGGCTGGAAATATAAAGTGACAAGTTTTTGTTCAGCTTTTTCCCTGCTTCATTCTATCCCTTTCAGAAATGTTTGTCAGTTTTCAAATTATTAGTTTCCACTTTCTTCTTAAATTTAATGAAAACTTCTTTTAAAACTGCTGACAATAGAAATAACACAGTGAAGACTATACACGACATTGAAGAATCATTTTCCAGACCAGCAATGAGTAAATTTCAGTCCAAAGAAAATGTGCACAGGGAAACAAAGATGAATGTACTTCTATCTAGACAGGAGGCAAAATCCTCATATAGCTTTTGAACAGCACTAACTCAAAGGATGTGCACATCTGGGACATGACTTGAGGCTTACCCTGAATTTAGCAAAAATTATCTAAAGCCTTACAAAAAAAATGGTATTTCTTGGTATTTCTGTCTGGAAGAAGTCAAATTCGCCTTTTTGCATGACTACAGCAAATTAGTTCAAACTGCAGGCACTGGCCTAAGTATACTGAAACTTAGAGGAGCTGTAGGAGAAAGGATGGAAAGGTCAGCTAGTTTTCTACAGCCCCTTCCCCATTTGCAGTATGCTGAAGCCAGTTATTGGCAAAACTTTTATCCTGTCACCATTGATGAAAAAGTGTCAGTTGAGCTGAGCACAGCCTAGAAAATATGTTACTTCCAGTGATGTTTATATATCGAGTTAGAAGCTGAGGCGCCAAAAACAGAGTTCTATTTGAAATATGTAATTTTAATAAGTTTTTGAACTGTGTTTGGTTTAATTTTAATAATTTAGTATTAAATGTAGATTTTTTTCTTGGTTGACTGACCTTTAGATAGTTGATAACTAAGAAGAAAAATAGACCTTGTTGGTTTTTTCTTTCCCCTTTGATTTATATTGATTTATCAGAACTCACTAGGGACCGAAAGACAAGAAAATGAAGATAAGGTTAAAGAAAGGTTAAGCATAGCATCAAAGCCCTTTTCACAGGCAAAAAAGGTTTTATGATCTTTAAAATCTCAGCTGCATCCTCTGTACGTAATAATCACTATAATTAAGTGATTGTCTCCCCTTCAAAAAAAAGTTGAAAATGACATAGAAGAATGATAAATTGTTAATTAATGATATGCTGTTCTGTTTCACTTCTGATTATACCTCCTGCTGGGCGCGACTGGTCTATTTGCTTCTAATCTCTGCTGTGAATTCATTCAATCCCACGCCTTTCTGCTATCATGTTTTCACCCTTCCTGACTTTCATGGCTACCATATGGTATAGAGCCACTGTAGGTTCAATTTCATGGTATCAGTGTTCTGGGGAAAAGATGCCAGTGATATCCAATAGACATGCTTGGATCTGGTTGTCCCACCATGGAAATATCTAAAATTGCCATGAAAATTATAAACTTGTTCCTAAAGGGTGTTTTAAAATGAGGATATGGTAGAGTTCATCATGACCATGAAAAATTTATTACCTTAGCTAAAGAAAGAGTTATCTTATCCTCAAACTTGTCTTTTTTCACAAGGGACCTGTGTAATATGGGTAGCTTGAAAATACTAGTTGGAAGGAATAATACTTTTTAATTTCATATTAACAGTATAGGGTAGAGTATTTCATTTCACATACAAATGTACAAGGACACAGTCCTAAAAATGCATTTTTAGCATTTTGATTTCAGAGTAGTTTCATGGACAAGCTCTACATTAATGCCAGAGAGATATGTGTTGTACTTGGATCCCTGGTTCTTTTCTTTGGGTTTCGTTACAATGTAGTTATTATTATTACTCGCTCTGCCAGCTGGCAGGTGTTTAACTCGACCTGCTCCTTTGAATTTAGGCAGTGTCTCCCTCTGCCTCTTCCATGGTACTTCTAGCTGGCTGAGAAGGGACACATTGGGATGAGTTTTCTCTCCCTCTAGGTTGTGTATGTGCCATTTATGGGCTGAAGTGTCACAGATAATTTTGAGTTCATTTGTTCACTGTGGGGGTCAAGGTAGCAGGGAATAATCTTGTTTATTCTCTCCTTTAGCTGTTGCCCTTTGCCAGTATCACAGTTACAAAGGTGGCTGAAGGAGAAAGGAGTGTTCTGTCTTTCCTGTGGAATAGACTGTTTTCTGAGGATCTGCTTGCGCAGAAAAAACAAAAAAAATTTAAAAAAAAAGAAAAAGAACAAAACCCCAAACCAACCAAACAAGAAGCCACACAGTTTCTGTATGAAAAAATGAAGAGACCTAAGGCCTTTCTGAGGCAAGAGTGAATGAGTTGGACTCTTTGGTTCCCAGGGTCACAAAAAACCAGTAGATTGGGAAGAACCTCCAGTCCAAATTCCAGTTATAAACAGGGCAATTTCACATTTAGGTAGGATTTTTGAGGCTGCATACCTGCGTGGGTGAAGTGTACTGCCTGCCACTGTTCCAGCCTGAGAATTCAAACATATTTTTGAAAAGTGGCTGCACCAGCAGTCAGGAGATACAGCTCATTTGCAAGAGGTTACAATTAAGCTCTGCAGTGAGAAAGTGGGTCTAATCATCTATTTTCAATGACAATACATTGCATATGGCTTGTTGCTTTGTAATTTTCTCATTATCCCTATTAGAGTAATATGAACATAGGACCAACAGATTTCTCTGACTTACCATGACTGGAAAATTAAGGAATGTTGCTTACAATTATGTCCTCCCACAGATGGAGAACTGTACTCTGGCACAGCAGCAGACTTCATGGGCAGGGACTTTGCCATTTTCCGAACTCTGGGGCATCACCATCCCATCAGAACAGAGCAGCATGACTCCCGGTGGCTAAATGGTATGTAAAATGTACATCTCGATGGTTACATTCCTCTATCCATTAAAGACTATCACACAGCTTCACTCCAGCAACATCTGTGACAAATCCACCCCTCGTTTATTTGGAGCAGAATTTTGTCTTAGACCAGTTAAACTAATAAAAAGTGATTTATAAAGGAGCACTTTTGTTTTGATTACACTGAGATTTGAGCAGTGTGATTAAGTTTAAAACACATACAGATACTACAGGGAACACAGTCATGCAAGTTAGACAGAAGCTTAGGGCTTGTGGAGGCATCAGCCAGACATCAACACAAAGTACCTCCAGAGCCTTATACAGGCTTTATACAGGCTTTAATTTTTTACTGGATTGAATGGAATCTGATACTGGCCACAAAAGTCCAACAGAAAGTCAATCAGCAGAACTTCCTGAGCAAGTCAGAGTTGTGAAGAGTTTGGAAAAAGTGAAAGGGGTCTTGGCCATGCCAAGCATTTTGGTTTCAAAATGTCCAATATTTTAACAAGGCACAAAGGTTACATTATTGTGTGGATATTACTAATCAAGCCTGTGGTTGTTTATTTGCGTGTATGAGGAGAGAAGGATAGTTTCAGAGAAAATCTTGTTTTGGCTTCCTGTACCAAAATAGTTTAGAATGCATCTGAGTACTCAATCCAAGTTCTACTGAAGTCAAAATTCCAACAGCTCAAATAGAATTATGCTTAGCTTTAGCTATACAAGGATATGAGCATTTTGGAAATGAGAATTCATTGTCTAAAAAAGCTAACTGTAGCTAACTAATACTAACTCTATTTACTGAGTTAATTTATATTTTAATTTTTGAAAGGTTAACTAACTCTACTTTTGCTGTATATGCTGCTTGCATTCTGGTTTTGAATTCACAAAATATTTAATTCTTAGCCATTTTTCACTCCTAGTCATGTTATTTATGTCTCTGCTGAGGTTCAGGTTTTCTTATGTAGTTTTGCAATTTGATGCAAACTGTTCACACAAATTTTAATGTATAAGAGCAGAGTACATTTTGAAACACAGTTTCTTATTAGCTAGTCAAGAACTTCTAGTATCATACTGAATATCACATTAACTATATGTACAATCCATAACAAATTCAGTACCTAATTCATAATTAAAACCACAAGATGCTATTGCAGGTTGGATTAACAACCTCTATATAACATACATTAGATACACATATCTAAATATGTACATGACAAATTATATGGATCTGTATTTTAATATGACAAGTTGTATGAATATGATGTTTATGCTGTTAAATTTAGTTTTTGCCATAATTCATGTACACTACTGTGGGAACATTTCAGTTCTAGAGTCTGTGCTTGTCCAGTACCCCAGAAATTTTGTTCATTTGGTTATTTTATTATAACAATAAACAAGATTTCTGGACTTCAGGTGACAGTAAAGTACAAGGGTTATGGACATATCCATCTATCTTGGTACCTGCTAGAGTAATAAAATGGTAAAGATAACCAACATCCACTTTTGTTATGATAGTCATGATGACATAAAGCCCAATCATGCAAGCAAAATCTGCTTTTGTCAGTAGATTTGCACAACGACAGCTGAGTCAGGAGGATTTATGCAGTGGGAAAGCTCAGCCATTGTCCACAGCCCCTGTACTTCATCGCTGAAAATGTGTCATTCCTTTGTGGATTCGGTTATCAGTCTTTCAGCACTAAATGTGAGAACTGCTTTTCCCAAATTAGCACTAAGGTTACATCTGACAGGGTGCAGAAACCACAACTGCTTTCTGCTCAAAATGGGGAGGAGAAGACAGTCGCACATAAAAAGGCTGATGAACCTCAAGCTCTCTAGAATTTAAGTACTGTCCAAAATAAGCATAAAAGTAGAAAGACAGCATTTTTTGTATCACAAGTTGAAGATGATTTCCAACTCTAAGTAAAGTTCTTGTGCTATATTTCTGTATGGAAAGTTTAAAACTAATTTAAAACCAGATAAGAATCAAACTGAAACCTTTAGAAATTACTCTCATAACTGTCCATAATTTAATAAAGAACGATCCTTAAGTACGTTTTTGAAATCTCTCTCTCAGTTGCAACTTAATGCTTTTACCTTCCTAATATGGAAAGATTGGCCTAAAATCTGCACTACAACATTCCTATTAAGGGCTCTAAGGCTTTCCTGTTGATTTCCCAGTGATAAGATCCTGGCAGCCTTTCCACACAGTACTCCTAATTTCAGCATCTAACAGGGAAATCCAAAAATGATAATTGTTTGGGTTTGAAACTCTGCAGGCATGCCAACCCTTTGATTACTTTTTTTATTTGTCATTTGTCTTTTTAAAATATAATTATAAAAGTGGTCTGTGTTTGCATGTATTTAAAGTGGATATACTTTTAATGAAACAGGCTCTCAGTGAAGGATGAGGTGTGCTCTGCTTTCTTAAAGATCTGTATAAACTACTTTTGAACCTTAAGTTTGCAGACCCTTATGTGTTTTTTAGTAAAGACATAGATTGCTATGTGGTGGAGGGTTTACTTTCCTAGTTGCTTTCTACATTGTGTTTAGCCTCAGGTTAAAAAGCAGTATTCTAATGGACATGTATTGAAAGCTGCAGAAGAACAGCAGTTCTGGTCAAACTAACAGAGACAAATTCTCATCGTCGTAGAGTTTAATAGTTAGGTGGTAAGGCATCCAGTTTTAAGACCTTGCTAATGTTTACTTCAGTCAGAGCAAGAGCTTAAAATGGCTCTTTCCATACTAAGGCTGAGGTCAGAACTGACGGGGTGCAGAAAACACAGCTGTTTGGTACCAAAAATGGAGAGGAGAAGACAGTTGCACGTGAAGAGCTTGAAAACTTCCCAGAAATTAAGTCTTGCCCTGAACTGGCATAAAAGTAGGACAACACTGCACAGAGTGATCAAGTTTTTGGGATTTAAATGTGAACACGGAGATCCTACAGAGATCACACGGTGCCTTTCTGGAGATGCTCAACCTTCCTAGAGGATGTGTATGTTTTTGGGAAGAGAACTTTGCCCAGCCCAGCCCTTAAAGACTTTTTAAGTCTTTTAGAGATATTAAATACTCACAGGCTTCTAAAGCTTTCATTTTGTTTAAATAATTAAACAGTCACCAAGCCAAATAAAACAAGGGAGACTGATTCTATAGCCATGGAGTCAGGGTATTCATGTAGAAGCTAGGGAACCATACATCAGTCACTGTAGCAGTGTATATTTAATTATTGATACAGAGTTGGCCAGATGTGACAAGGAGGCATTTGCAAAAACACAGTAAAATAAGCTGGTGTTCAGGGAAGTCATTTTGGATATGAAAAGCTACAGTTCAGTGCCCCAGAATGAATCATGTGCTTTGTTATAAGCCATGTTCATGCACACACTGAACATTACTGGCTCCTCTGGTACGCGCATGGAGTCTCTTTGCACAAAAAAGCTTTGGCAGTCTAAGTTGGTCCCAGTGAGGGCCCAAGAATAGTTTTGACCTTTCAGAAAAAAAAAATCTGAAATTGGAAAAAACATTTGAAACATTGGAAATTGGAAACAACTCCTGTCCAGCTTTACTGTAAGGAGCAACCTCTTTGATGTTACAAATACATCTTAAAAAGTCTTGCCTATAAGGCAAGGACATGTTTCCTTTTAAATGTGCCATTGCCTCTCGTAGTTCAGAGCCATCGGAACCCAGTGTTATTTCGAGGAAGTGTAGATCAGGTCCTGCTTGTATGAACTACTTCAGCAATTAAAAAAAAAAAAAAAAGAAATTAGTAGAGGCCCAAACAGGTGGGATCAGCTCCCCCTGGTACCAGGGAGTTCCCTGGTGCATGACAGGCAGTGTTTGCTGTGCACCCTCCCAGCGTTCATGCGAGGGCTGAGGGCATGGCTGGAGGCAAGAAGGCAGAATTGGCAGTGCAGTGTACCAGAGCAAAATGCTAAGCAATGCAAAAGCAGTGCACCAAAGGCAGTTTTTCAAGCTGAAGATTAGAGGAGTGGAAGGAGAGAGCTTGGAGCTGCTCCCATCTTCTCTGACTTGAGCACAGGGGATCTGGCCTTAAATTGTTAACGTTTTGTAAAATGAATAACCATAAACATTTATTTTAAAAGCAAAGCAGAGTGAGGCTGAGGAAGATCTGATGGGAAATGAAATCACGAAAGCTGCATTAAGATGGTATTATGAATCTGGTTTGCACCCCAGAAGTACTGGCCTCACTCATATTCTTTTCTAGACCTGGGGTTAAGAGAGACTGTCAGTCTGGATTTCCAGCCTTGGCTTGGAATTTCGTTGCTTTTTATGGGTTTAAACCACTCTGTGATATTATTTTAGCATACTTTCCATGGCTTAATTTTTAAAGTGGAGTAGTAGCTGTGCTTAGTCCCCTGGGGTTATTGTCCTTGGTAATCTTTACTTTACACTTACATAAACAGCTGAGAATTATAGAAGCTGAGTGACTGCTCAATAAAAAAGAAAATGCCCTGTTAAATTTCACAAGCTCTGAGGCAGGAAACATGGCCTTGATACTCTCCTGGCATTCAAACAGAACTTTAGCCATCGCTTTGTGTTGTTTCCACTTATGGCACTTTGTAGAATGTCCCAGCACTGGCATCACACACACTTAATTTTGAATATATTTGTATTGTGCAGGAGAATAATGTGTGGCAAGAGAAAGACAAGATTTCAGATAGTTTATAGTATTTTTACCTCTCTAATAAAATACATTACATGTGTCAAGATGTTAGAAATTAATTACTCTTGTTGAGACTTGGATGTGTTCATTTGCTGATCACTGAACCTATAATTTGTCTTTGGTCAGCCACACCAAACCCTTTTCCTACTTATACCCACTGCTGCCCCCCTCTGCTGTGCCGCTCCCTTGTCCCTAAATGCCTTCCTAGTTTCACACTTTTCAGCTCACCTCCTACACATTCCCAATCCAGATATACAGCATGCAGTAAAATACATGCCACCAAAGGTAAGCAGATGTGGAAAGGGGCTGACCTGTCAGCGCAGAC